ATCAAGCAAAGAAAAGATGGCATCTTCATCAATCAAGCTAAGTACGTTAAAGATATGCTCAAGAAGTTTGGACTGAAAAATGGGAAACCTCATGACACTCCAATGAGCTCATCAACAAAGCTTGACATAGATGAATGAGGTAAATGTGTGGATGTTAAATTATATAGGTCAATGATTGGTTCTTTGCTTTATCTAACCACAAGTAGACCGAACATTATGATTAGTGTTTGCTTATATGCTAGATTTCAATCATGCCCTAAGGAATCACATTTAATAACTGTTAAGAGAATCTTTAGATACCTTAAGGACACACCTAGTTTAGTACTTTGGTATCCTAAAGACTCTAGCTTTAGCTTGCATGCCTTTTTTGATGCGGATTATGGAGGATGCAAATTAGATAGGAAAAGCACCTCCGGTACTTGCCAATTCCTTGGAAATATATTGATTTCTTGGTTTTCAAAGAAACAAAATTGTGTTGCTCTACCACTGAAGTCGAATACATTTCAGCTGGTAGTTGTTGTGCACAAGTTTTATGGATGAAACAAAAACTTTTTGATTATGGAATTGAAGTAGGTACCATTCCTATCAAGTGTGACAATACTAGTGATATTTGTCTCACTAAAAATCTCATCCAACACTATAGAACTAAGCACATTGAAATAAGACATCACTTCATTAGAGACCATATTACTAAGGAAGATGTAGTTCTAGAATTTGTTGATATTTTGCATCAATTAGCGGATATCTTTACAAAGCCTTTAGACAAGGAACATTTTTGGACACTTAGGAGAGAATTAGGTTTAACTAACCTATCTTCACTTAGTGCTTAAAATAATTTTAGCACTTTTAAGAATAAATGAAAAATGCTTATAATAGTAATTTTTGATTGCATTCATTGCTTTTAGTTAGGGGGAGTTTATGATTTTTGGTGAAAATTAACTTTATGTTCAAATGTAATTGAAAGATTGATTTGATGGATTGAACACGATTAATTTTCAATATATGAGTTGCCAATACCACTAGAGAAAATTAATTTAGCATTTTGAGTGTTTAAAATCAGATTTTATTGGTTTTGATGCAGAGGGAATCGATACCCCCTTGAAGGGGAACCGATTCCCCCTGTAGGGGAATCGATACCCCCTGGGTTCTGGTTTTTAACACGGGAAGAACACCCCAAACTCTCAAACCCTCTCTTATACTCTCTTAGTTGTTTTTCCTTTCTACTCTCGCCCTATCTCCATACTTCATAAAAACAACATTTTTTTAATCGGAATTCTCTTCAAATATCATCTCTTAAACCTGTTGGAATCATAAAAAAACGTGCAAACTTCATCTAATCTCACTCAAATCCAAAATTCTTCAATGTATTTTTCTAAAACCTCTATTTCATTGATTTTTGAACTTAGGACTAGTTTTGATTAGTTCTAAGATGAACATTACATCGACATTGGTGATATGATGATTTTACAACCAATTTCGTCAAAAACACTCAATCTTTCAAAATTATCTTTTAATTTTGAAATAAAAAAATCGAGAATTGTTGTTTTAATTGATGTTTTTGATTCAATTATGTTGTTTTCATAAAACTATACGTATTATGATTTTCAAACATTATTTTCCAAATAGTGTTTTAAAACATTGCCCTTTAGGATTCGATTTAGAGAACCTTGAAATATTGAGGACTCATTTGAGTTTTGGGTTTGATTATATTGCATACGTGTGTTTAAATTTGCAGGTTACATATTCTATTCCGATTCTTAAACCATGTCAAATCATAAACGACCTAGGACATTGTCTAGTCGCCCAAGTTAAAACCGACCTCTTATTCCTCCACCCAATCCAAATAACCCAAATATGACCATTCTGAACTCTTGTTTCACGTACCTGGTCGTAGACAAGATCTATATCATAGGTACCATACTTGTTTTGAGTCATACAAAATCCGGGAAAAACGTATCCCTTCGATCCAAGCTATAGAAGATATTGACTTTCAATATCTTCCTACTCTTAAATCCTAGAAGTTTGATAAACTCTTTAAACTCAAATCTTTGGTTTATCATCAATTAGTCCACATTTTTCTATTCCAATGTGGTTTGTGTCCAAAATGAGCACCGATCTGAAATTATAGGAATTCGATCCTATCGTTTAGGACAATTTATTTTTATTGACTCCGACACATTCGCTACCCATTTTGGACTAGATAACTCAGGTTTAATGAAAAAGAGACTGTGGATTCACCCTATAAGTCTAAGGATAATGAGAATACCCTAAGAACTTATCGTGATAGATTCCTTCATTATATGATCTCTTGGTGTTTTAGACCATCCGGAGGTAGGTACTCCTCCCTTAGGAACATAGATATATGGTGGATATACTGTATCCAACATAAAAAGAAGATTAATCTGCCACAGATCATCTTTAGTGAGTTTCCATAAACACTATTCCTTCCAAGAATATAAAAGCCTTGGTTTATGGTTGTCTCATTCGTAATTTGTTTATCAAACTCGGTCTGAGGGTCTCTTCTGATATTCTTATCCCTCTTAAAAACCAAATCAATCTTACTTTCTTGAAGAAAGCAAGATGGAAAAAGGATAAGGAAACAGGCCAATGGATTTATCATCCCGAACTCAGAACTTTGAATTGTGAAACATTTTGATGTTCATGGATTGTTTTATTTTGGATGTTTGAATTTGTTGGATAATTGGATATTTGAACTTACATGCTTATATATTTGGTTTGGTTTTAACTTTCATTTTGAGCTTAATGTTTATTTTTGCATCATTTACATATTAGTTCTATTATGACCAATTTTTGCCATGTCACATTGTTTATGAATATTGATTATGAAACTAATGGCTAACGTTTCTCTTGATTGTGATCTTAGCAGCTTAAGCTATATATATTTATAATCAATTGGTTAATGATTTCAAAACCTTGTTTAAAATCTTTTAAAAGTCTTTTTGATTTAACAAAAAGGGGGATAAATGTTAAAGTGTTTTAAAGGGGAGAAGTGTTAGAGTAAGGGGAAGTAATTTCAAAATCTTAAAATTACTAAAATGTTTTGTTATATCAAAAAGGGAGAGATTGTTAAAATTACTAAAATGTTTTGTTATATCAAAAAGGGGGAGATTGTCGAAAATATTTTGATATTTCGATTTAACAAATTAAGATAAATGAATTTTAAGATTTTCCAAAAAGATTTTCTAAGTATATTCGATATAATTATTCGAATATCAAAATATTACTCCAAATCTTTCAAACGTCATTTTTAATCCTTACTCAAATGTAAAATTAAGTTTTAAACCTAAAATAATTTCAAAACAAATTTACAAAATATTTCGAACCATTTCAAAGCCAAAAATTCCAGATTGCTCAGAGAGAACCGATTTCCCCCCAAGGGGGTACCGATTCCCCCATGAATGGTTTGGCTCTGAGAAAAACAGAATGCTCGGGGGGAATCGATACCCCAGGGAACCGATTCCCCTAAGGGGTATCGATTTCCCCCTGCTAAACGGTCGAAATATTTGAATTTTACACTTAGGGAATAGATTCCCTATGAGGGGGTACCGATTCCCCCCACGCTCCAAGTAGAAAATATTAATTGTTTTCACACTTAAATGGCTCCAATAACTTCATTAATGATCCCCAACGTTCAAAATCATTTGAAGGTGTATTTAAACAAGCTTAGAAGCCGTTGATCATTACAAGAAACAAAAATCAACAAGAATCAAGAGAGAATCAAAGGGAAATCATCAAACCTCAAGTTTGAGCATTTTCAAGCCTATTTCATTCAATATTCATTTTTGCTTTCAAGAACACTTATTGTGCTCAATTGTATTATTCTTGAGTGTTCTTTCTTTGTTCTAGAATTGTGCAAACATCTTTTCTTGTGAGGATTTTCTTGTAAGTTTGCAAAATTTGTATTGTCCTCTTTGTGAGAGAGTGTTCTCAAGAATTTGGGGTATAATTCTTGAGGGATTTGTAAAGTTACTCTTTGTCCTCAAAAGAAAGACAAATTAGTGAATTTGTGAAAAATCCTTAGTGTGGATAGCTAAGGTAGTGGACGTAGACTTTGGTTGAGAAAGTCGAACCACTCTAAATCCCTGTGCAAATCTTTTGAATTTTCTGCAAAAGTTTCCACTAAAATTTTTAATTGCCAATTCACCTCCCTCTTTGCCGATTCCATCGATCGATAATAATATAATTATAACAATAAAATAAAATATAAAATTATTAAAATTATTATTAAATATAATTTAATAATTAATATTTTTATTAAAATAAGACTAAAATAATTTATTAATATTAAATATATAAAATAATAATATTTTGAGTGTTTATGTTTTAAAATGAAAACTTCATAAAATTACTTATGAAAAATCAGACGTTAAATCATTTTATAGAAAATGCAAAGTAAATCAATTGAGTAAGAAAATGAATTACATTGAACCTATATTTTCCACTAACCAAACACTAAAAAATAAAGAAAATATTTTTCAGAAAATCAATTATAGGAAAATAAACTGACCCTTAGTGTGAGTTTTTAACTCATGGATTGATATGGTCTAATTTGAACATAAATTTAAATATTTATTTTATTTTAAATTAATTATTAATTCTCTGAATTATATTAATAAACAACTATCATTATAGTTTACATATTTTTTGTGTATTAATAAGCAATTATAATTAAATTTATTAAATCTTTAAATGATGAATATTTAAATTATTTTTATAATATATTTAATTTAAATAATTTTAAACTAGAAAAATCAAATTCATTTAAAGATGACAGGTTATTTTAAAAAATAAGATGTTTATTACAAAAATAAATATTTGATTTTGAATTTTTTTAAAATTGATAAAATGTTTATTTTAAATACTAATTTTAAAAATTCTAAATAAATAGCTTTAATTAGAAATATTTTAGAAAAAAATGAAAATTATGAATTTCAACTTTTTAAAGATACTTGACAATCGAAAAATATTTTACAAAAAATCAGGCAGTTCCCAGTTGAAGGCAGGCAGCAGTATAGAGTTATAGACTGTACAACAGAGAGGAGGGAGGGGGAAAAAGATTGAAGTAAGAAGATGAAGGCTTTGGGATGGTGGTTAATACGAGTGGGTTCACTTCGATTACTCTCCGTTTGGTTCGGCTTCTTCGATATTTGGGCTCTTCGTCTCGCTGTTTTCTCCAACACCACTATTATGCTTCTTTCTCCCAAGCTTCTTCTTTGGTTGCTTAAATTACCTTTTTATTTACGTATATTAATGGCTCTCAATGTCTTGTTTCCCGTTAATTAGAATATATGGTTTTGGGGAACATCACTTATTCTTTAAGTAACAAATCTTTTACATCTAAACAATGGAATTAAGTTCGTGTTTCGGGGTCATGTATACCAGGTGTTGGGTTATGTCTCTTTATGTTTGAGATCAAAACTTCAATACCCAGATTAGAAAGCAGGCAATAATGTATAACGTGGGATCCAAAGTTTAAAAATTTGAATATTGTTAGAGGAAAAATGTAAGCTTTGCTGCTTTTGGAAAACTAGTTTCTACAATATAATAATTTGTGTCTTCTAAAAGCCAGCAAGAAGTACTTTGAGCTGGGTTAATTGAATGATACATTGAGATTGTCTTACATTGAAAAGAAAATTACTACTAATTAGCATGTTTTTTGGCTTAAATTAGTGGAATTTTTCCTTTTCTAGACCTAATAGCCGATATTTGATAGTTCTTGTTGAAATGCTTAAAAAAATTATGCTTAATGAATCATTGTCAGATTTGATTGTTCAGTCAAATATCTTTTGTTATTGCTTACCAGTCCAATGATGATAATGCATCTTACTTGAAGGTTTTTTTTTCATACAATGCCTTTTGGTTGTCTTGGATGATGCGAAGGAACGAGGGTAGAAGAGAATGCATGATTCGTATCTATACCTAAGTTACTGTACCAAAACCGAGAAAGATTTACTCTAGTAGGTTTCTTGTACTAGTTCGGTCAAAAAGTAGAGAAGCTTAGCTTGAATTGTCATGTGATGGTGGATTGTGGATACTATGAACTTATAGCAAGGTGGATGAGTTTGGTAATTTTGTGCTGACTGTCCAAGTAAGATATTTGATGTCTGACTTGGAGTAGAAAAACACAAAGATTTGGTGCATCTGAAATTTTGTGTTCTTGCATCTTCAAGTATAGTTCTTTAAGTGCGTGTATAAGCTGTTGCATATCTAAAATGAAAGTATGTTGATGGAAAAGTGGTCATAGGTGATTTCCCACAAGAAAACTTAAGAATGAGGAATGTATTTGGCTTGAGAGTTGAGATCATAGGTTGGGAAAGATACAAAACTTTGGATTTTGACCGTGATATCAGAAAAATTAGAACACTCGGTACAATTTGAAAATGTCCATGCTCCTTTCATTATTCGGGTGCATTTATATACAGTTGTCTTTGCACATGTTATAATGAAAAGGATTGAGAGGAAGGGTTACCAGAGGTAATACAATGTAGTCAATCTTATTTGCTGCATATACACCAGATATTGGCTTGAGCGTGATATCTTGTGCATTTGAGTATTTCCATATTCAATGATGATTTGGAGCATCTGTTTCAAACAAGACAAACAAGATTGGGATTGAATACCTGCTTTTTTGCTATTAAGAAGCTCTAGATTCATTAGAACTGCTGAAACCTCATACCTTAAGGGTGCGTTTGTATTTTGTGTTTGGTTGGTTTAGCAGGAATGTAAGATTACCGTGTTTGGTTAAAAGAATAAAAGATTATTGGAATGTATATTTGATCAAATTGTCCTTATTATATATTTGTATAATATTACAAATTATAAAATATTTATATTTTTTCTTAAAAAATTAAATTCATAATATTTATATAATTTTTTTATAAAATTAAAAATATAAAAAATGTTTAATGAAAGGGTAAAAAAAATTTAACCCCTGAATTTCATATAAAATTTTAATTATAGATTTTTTTTGTAAATCTAAAATAATTTAAGGTTAAATTTGTAATTTAATCTTCGTAGAATTTTTATTATTCAATGACAGAAGAAGGATATTTTTGAAAAAAAATAAAAATTTAAGGGCATTTTAGTCCAAAACGCCGGTAATGTTACAATACCTAAGGGAATGGAGGTAATGACATTCCCGGTAATATACTCAAAAAAATCTACTATTGATAATAAAATATTATCGGAAATGAGATTCCCGACCAACCAAACATGGAAATGTGAGATTCTCACAATCCTTGAACTAAACACTAAGAGTGGAGACATTGAAACTCGGGATAATAAGCCTTCGAGATATCAAAATTTGTCAATTTTAGAATGGATATGTTATTCTTCTTCTTCTTGTTTTTTTTAATACATTTTCTTCCAGAAAATTAATTTGGTAATGTTCTATTTTATTTCTATGTTAGACTGCAACTTGATTACCCGCGCGGTTGAGTTTTCCTTCTGTACCCTTATTACTCTTTTATTATTTCTAAACATATTTTTCACAAAGAAGACGCTGGTATTGGTATAGCTTGGGAAAAGGATTTGACCCCAGATGGCAATATGTTTTCTGCTGAATATGTCTTTCCTGATCTTATAATTGGCTATCTCCTTGATTTGAAATGCATTGAGCGAAGTTCATGGGAGGACTTTTGGAGTTTGGACACTTTTGACTTGTACCCTCTGTTTTCTTTGTGCATTTAACTTGGAAAATAAGCCACTATACTTGGTGACGTTTTTGTCATTCATCTATGCCTTTGGTCACTTTTTGACTGAATACACCTTCTATCACACGATGGCTCTCTCAAATCTGACAACTGTAGGCATATTTGCAGGTATGTTGCTCATGAGTAGACGTGACATCATATTGAGTTTGTGTTGCTTGTCACTACTTTTGCAGGAAAGCTTTAATTTAAGCAGCTGAAATCTTTCCCTCAGACTTGTTACTGTTTTTATTACATCAAAATTTGTAGATTGTATAACCGACCAAGAAAAATTTTCAGAATAAAATTTGATAAATGGCGATAGTATTATCCTCAGTTACTAGGTTTGTAGCCTTGTGTTGCAATTGCCAAAAGCCTAAGATCTCGTGGCATCCTTCTTGATCGTTCTTTAGTATGTCCTGATCTGTAACAGTTCATGGCATCAACGTTTCTAGCTAGAACTGCATGCTGCTCTAAAATGTTTCACCATATTGGTGAAATTGCTACAAGAGACTTGGTACCTCCCTTAATTCTTATATAAGCCTCTAACATTTTATAACGTCCAATTAAACTTTTAAGTTACTATTTTTATCTGATTAAGCAATTAGACTAACCCTTAATTTGCCGGTGTTTAGTGGCTTTCATGTAACAAAAGGTTCCATTAAACAAAAATAATACTTAAAGGGCCCAATTTAATAGAAGATAAGAGCTTATCCGAGAAAGTATTGGGGGTCCATTCATCATTTTAGTCATATTTATTTCGTTTTAAGGTCTTTGGCTCACCAATTGCGCCATGGTCTGGTTAAATGTTTTGGCTTTGCATTTTCTGTTTGATTGTAATTATCATGTTGTGATTTTTGCCTGATAACTAATTTTTCCCCTTCTCGAAATCAGGGACATCAATTATATGGATGCTATTACAGTGGAATGCACATCAGCTAAGACATGTCAAGCATGCCTGAAAATTAACTTATTTACTTTCATTTGCTTTAATCTTATTGCTGACAGCCTGACACTATAATTTCTTAGTTTGGATTTTATGTTCTCAATGGGTACTCTAATTGGTATCATCTGTTTACTGGAGTTGTGTCTCATAGATTATAGCATTCTGTTTGAGTACTTCCATTATAGATTGATTCAAAGAGAAGATTTTATACTTCTATAGCATTCTTAATCGATGGTATTTTGAACTTCAAGGGGAGGAAGGAATAGAAATAGCAAAGATTGGCGAACAATTTGAACTTTGGGCCGCACAGGAAACCACCTTCATTGCCATGACCTTTTGTTAAGTAGGCAAATATTTCAAATCTTTGCATATTTCTTTTGCTTGTTGCGTCCAGTTATCCAGGGGTCATTACTTACTGAGCTGAGAGCCTAGAAAATGTTGAGATTTGGGCTTGGGTGACACCAAAAGATCAGTTCGGCCTTAACAAATAAACCCCCACAATAAATCGTGTATGTATTGTACTGCTTCCGTGTTGGATCCTGTAAAATTTCGTCACCCACGCTCATGGTTTGCTCTTCATATAAACTTAAGATCTTGTTCATCAATAGGATCCTCAACTTCCTCTTGATCACGTCCTATATCATCATCTAATAAGTTCGAATTTGCTATCAGCTATGCTATTATAGACCTACCAATGTTTATTTGCTTTCTTTTGCAGAAATTGCAAATGATCTTATTTTATCATAAGCTGAACATGCAGGTTGTGATGACCATTAATGTCATTTAACTTGAGAATCAGACAAATCCCTTCAAATTTGGAGATTTTACTCATGAAATTAACAAAGAACAACATAGGAATCAGAAGACCATTGATTAATATAAATTTAATAAAAATCATAAACCAGAATGCATGTCACCAGAAACAAAAGTGGGAATAAGAAAAGATGTCCTCTTGAAAAGAAAAAAAATGGTTTTGATAAGGAAAAACAATATCCCTTTTTTAACCTGGAATCTGGATTCACGCTAATCCAAAAGAATCTGTACCTTGCACAAGCAGCAGTAGCAACAGCAATATTTCTGAAGGAAATCCTTTCGAAAGAAATGGTAAGAATACCGTAAGATCAGAAAATGCCTGGTGAATAGGATGGAATATAGCCATGAAAATGGAGAAGTGGAGAGAGGTGGCTGAAAAGGATATGGAATATTGGAATGAAAACAAAACAGAACATGTCGGCTTTATTTGTTTGACCTTGAGAGGTAAATGAAGCTATTTTTACTTCTCAAAATCAGAAAATTGCAAGTTCAAAATTTTAACAAAGTTTGATCTTTTACTATGCAGTGCATGCATGAACTAATTCAACCCCTTCTCGTATTTCCAAATAAACTGTTTCCCATCTCTTCAAACTATTTTTTAAACTCGTTCATGCATGTTACTCGAAATGATTGATTGAACGACATATATCTGGAAAAAAATTATTAACTACAAGAGCCTCATTGGTCGAGTCAGCCATCAGTTGGTGCTCAAGCTCATTTATTAAACCTCTGGCTTCTTTTTTCTTTCTTCCATTTTTTTGACGAACTTTTTCTAATCAAAATATCGATTTTGATCTTAGGTATTGTCACCAGTCACTTGATAAGCAATAAAGCAAAAAAGAGAGGGCATATAATAAGAGCTAAAGACGGGGAAGGAAAGGAAGCAGAGGAGGCAGATAGCAGCTCTGCAGAAACTAATGAATGGAGATGATGAGTCCCCAACTTCCTTCACTACTCTCTCTGCAATCTTTTTTTTTCAGGCCCATATTCAATGCTGCATTTAATGTTTTCCCAATCTTATTTACATGAATGGAAGCAGACAATTGATGTACAATTCATCAACTCTTATTTTTCACAAGTACGATCCAACTGAGCCAGTTCAATTATTTAAGTAAGATCAGGTTCAGAGAAAAGCATGGTCCATACCTTGGGATGCAAGTCTTTAATTATTATTATTTTTCATGTTGAAGCAATTTTTCTTTTTCATCAGCACAAACTACAAAGATGTATTCATTCCCATAAACTTTAACAGCACGTGAAGATTGTTACTTTGATCCATTGCTAATAGTGGTGAATCTCAGTGTTAAAAGAAAAACAGAAAAAAGAAGAAATGACATCATGAGTTACGTTGGGTATTTATCCATTCGAGGTGGGATTGTCTAAAATGCAGTAGGAAGAACAAGGTCTAAATCTCTAAGCCTACATATCTTGCAACATAGGAAAAAACTCTGCATGTTTCTCTTTTAAATGACAAATGTCGCCAATTTTTCATCAAAATTAACAAATCTCTGATCTCATCTCCCCATTCAAAAAGGGATAAAATTTAATGACAACGGAGATTTATTAATAAAAATTTAATAGTCTTGAGTTAAGGGTATCTTAATATGTTGATGTTTTAACTGTAACTAAAGAAAACACATACTGAAAGGTGCCATGTTTAAGGAGGATACAATCTTTTGCAGGAAAAAAGGCAAAACATTTCATAAAATAAAGGGCAAGAAGTGTTGCAGTGAAGCTCAAACTCAAAGAAAGAAAAAAATGTAGAAACGCTTTACATTATAGCAACCCATATCTGATATCTCTTCTACCATGAAAGAGAGGAGTGAAAACGAGTATATAAGAATAGATGGTCATTTTTTCCCTTATATCAACAGTTGAAAAAGAGAGGTGGCTTTTATAATGGACAATAGTTTACTTTTACAGTTTAATTCAATCAAGGGTCGTAAACCAGGTTGCCACACTTACATTTCCAACTTATGGGCTTGTAGTTTGAGATATCATTGCCTCTGGAGTAAGAAATCGAGAAGAATGCAGCCGAGAATTGGCGGGTTCTCCTGCTTTTGGATAGTGTTGTGACGGGAACTTGAATTGCCTCACAGTTGGGGCAAGAACTGCACCTTCTCTCACACCTTGGTGGCCTTGACCCTATCAGACTTCTCATCATCAATGGCTTCTCTTCTTCAAATCCTTTCTGTTTCATATAGCATCATTGGATTCAGTCAGTTTTGATTGGATGCTAAGAAATAAGATGGGAAAGAAATGGGATTTTGATCTTGATACCTGGACAACCTGGAGCAACCTGGAAAGAGACCTTCCTGGAATAACATGAAAGCAAGTGTGATGAAGTGGGTTTTCTTTCATTTCCTTATTTCCAAATTGAGATATTGGGAGACTGCTGAGTGAAATTTAGACAAGGAAAGAAGAAAGTTACCTTCTGCAGCCATGAATTTAACTTGGGTGAAGCTTGAAACCAGGAGAAACAGCAAGGAAACAATAAGACGTCTATTTCCGTGGCAGCAAACATAATTGGGAGGGCTTCTCATTTTCTTTTTCCTCAAAGAAAGGATGAATTTTTCAAATCCTTAAAAGATGAGAGATTTGGAGAAGGGGCATTAGAGCAGTGAAAGTTAACAGGACCAAAGCAGGGAAATTAAATATGGTCGGCAGTGTAGAGGGTAACTGAATCTGATTTTCTTTTTAAGTGGTATTTCAGTACTTGAATGCCACCTCCACAACCAGAGTAGAAAGATGGTCTGATTTTTATCTTGTAAATCTCTGAAAGCACTGCAATGAAGCTTAAAAAGCAAACGGGGGAGGACCTCAAGCGAAAAGGGAAGGACCTCAGCCTCGTTTCATGAGCCAATAAACCAATCTATCTTACCAAATAATACATCAAAATAACTGTGGTGACAGTAGCAGGGGAGGTAGAAAAGCAAAGCAAAAAGAATTGACAGTAGAGCCGAAGGAAAAGAACGAAATTGAAAACAAAAACAGCAAAACTAAGAAGATCACACCAATACCAAATGATAGAGAGTTGTCTATGGAAAAGTGATTTTATCATTTATGTAATGTCAAAGATGACCATGATGTTATTGGGTTTAGCATTTAACCCTTTCCAATTTGTCCACTACAACACGCCATCACTTATTGTATTATACCATTTTCCCAAGGAGGATACTATTTTTGGGTTTGGTATGTAAGAGAGATGAGGATACGGAGTTTGCTTCACAATATTTTACCTGCAACTGCAAACAAAAACCTCCTCACGCACGCTCTTGGGAATCACTCAAATCACACACTTTACACTCCTGTCCTGTCACACCCACTCTTTAATCTACTTTGCAAAATCATAACCGCTTCTGCTTCCAGATTTCTCCGGTGCTCCTATAAGTAACATCAATGTTCTCCAACACAAGTTTCATTTCTGTTTTCATATATCATAATTTCCTTTGTTTATTCAGAAATCCATATTTTACTCTAATCCTGAATTACCACAATGGACCAGTCTCTGAACTTCTGCTCATTGTACTCACGAGAAACGAGGAAATTCTAATAGCCCTTTAACCTGTTTTTCATTTAAGTTTTAACTTCCGAGTACTGATGCTGATACCTCCATTATTGAGTGCAGTATTACACCAGCATTACGATTTACGGCCATTACAGCAGGCATTAGAAGAATGGCAGGATATTGGGCCAAAAGTCCAGCTGCAACGTAAAATGCCAACACAACAAGGAACAGAGTGTGAGCTGGGCTGGGACCGGAAAGACCCCATGAATTAATCAAATATTATTTTACTATATCTAGAACACCACCAACAGTCCAACGCCAACTACGAGGACTTGCTTGCTCCAGATCTTTTACCGGTTTTGTCTATATTATCCAGGTTCCACGTGAATCTATACATGTCTACACAGAGTATACTAAACCTTTTAAAAGGTTATTTATATATTTAGGAAATTATATTCATATATAGGTTTCAGATTTGAAAGAAGTAAAGAACTCAGATAACATAGATCTTTCCAACGAGCCAATGACATCAAAATAATGTAGGTTTCATAACCAACTTAACTAAGTAACATTTCTAGCATTAGGTACAGATTCATAGCAAGTAATCCATCTTCACAGCCCAAGTAGGTCTCCTATGGCTATTAAATGCTATATAAATTTACATGCAAATGTTCTAACACGTTCAAGACATATAGGGATACCACCTACTGAGTTAGGGTTAAGCAGATTTAGAAATTAAAAAATAGGGGTCAAAAAAATTTTAATACCCTATTCTAAAAATATTTGGGTATGCAAATTTTCTTATTTTTTTTCTATTCCTATTAACAAATTAAACTAAATTTAACACTTTTCTCAAAAAAATGGGTGTGCAATGACTCTCATAGAGAGTCATGTACATCTGCCCCTGAATTGTCAACGACACCCCACTTTCAAAACCTGCAAAAGTAAATTAATCTTCGGAGTTCCAGCCTCCAGCCTGGAGCATAGAGCTATTCGCGATTTACGTATAGTAATAAAAACCTTCACAAAAGAAAAGTGTCGATCATGTGTTGGACTACATCAGCTCCATCAGAATTAACCCAATAGTTTCTCACCTGAAGAGTATGACGGTAAAATAGAAAGAAAAGGGTGAAAAGGATTGTAAGCATCAAGGTCATCTAATTCTACGTCTAAAACAATGAGTTAGTAAACGATACACTTGCCTGAATGGAAAGATGTGCAAGAAGTCTTTGTCTGCTTCCTTTGAAGTAAACATCAACACGTTCCCAGCTCATTTTTGTTAAACCTCTGATAATTTCTTCTGCAATAATTATAAAATGAGTGAAGATTGAGTCATTTGGGAATTATATATTTATTAGATTATTTACCCTCTACTCGTAGCTTTAAATATGAAATGGATGACTGATTTTGCAGCTTTCCAAAAGAAATGCTAAGCTAAGAAAATGAAAAGCAACTAACTCGACTCAATGTAATTCTCCAGTACAGATGTGTTTGACATAAGATTTTAATTTTTTTACAAGTTTTTCCACGAATTTGAAGGGTTACGGATAGATCATATCCAAAAATGCACCACTACAAGTGCCGGACATAATACTTCAAGAAAAGTAAGAAATTTGAGTAATAAAACTTGCAAGGACTTCAACTGTAAAAGGTAGAACTGCTTCGGCTATTTCATCCCCTGCTTTCATTTTTTTTTTTAATTTTCCTATGCCCAAAGACTAACAAACAACTAAATCAAGGAAGAAGAATAACTAACTTATAGGGAAACTAGCAAGCACATATGATCCTTTACGGAGGAGGAAAGCATCAATGACACAGTGACCCTCAAAAGAATCACTTTCGCCATTTAATCATTTTCAACGACACTCTTCAACGTTGGATTTTACACTTGTAGCACTTCCTTTAATGCTAGACCATAAGCTAGATAGACCTGTTTTATTCTAGAGACTATAAACTATTGAAAATTGTATGACAAATCGTGGTTAAGTTTTCCAATCCAAATTCGATGCAAATAAAGAGGCTGACAGATCAGGGGGGGGATTAATATTACAAATTTACAAGAAAATTTATTCAAATTCAATCGTTCATCGACTAAAAGTAAATGCCATCCTAATTAATTAGTTTTCTATTTCATAATTCGTATGAAAATATTACAAACCAATTCAGGTGAAGAAATATGATGCCAACAACCAAAAAAAAAAATCCCGTGAAAGAGGATTAAGACGATCTCCAAGTCCAAGAGATTCTAATAGAAAGTTGATTTGATTAGTAATTTAAAAGATAAAATTAAGAAGCAAACCTTCCATGTTCATCTTCTCAGTTCCATTGATTTTGGCATCCATAGGGACTTCATCAAGAGTATCAGTCTTTCCTGTCTCCACGTTTACAACGTGTGGGTAGTTGTCACCTCTTGGAAGATGTTTAATCTGGTACTCAGGAAAAAATCCACATTATTATTAACTTTATGGCAAGTGATAGAAGCCAAATAAAAAAGGGTGCTTCATGGTTACCTTTGGAAGCTCATCTCGACGTCTTAAGGAAGAGGTACTCCACCCAACAATATCTAAGAAAGGCGTCAAGTTCTTAAACAAACAGAATGGTAGGAATGAGAAACAAGTCTTCTCCAAATGCCAAAAAACAGTACGATCCACTATTTAAATCTTCCTTAAAGAATTAATTAACAGATAAAAGCACAACCACAGTATCTGATATATGTGTGTGTGTGTGTGCAGGATAAAAGGATAAGATCAAAACTTGCACTTGCGTAAACAACACGACGCCTGAAGGACAGCAAAGCAGACCTGCAGTTTACAGAAAACATACAGCTATTAGTCCATAGTTCAGCATCAGCTCTCACATGCTGTAACTAAATCCAGGAAGCTCATGAAACTCACATAAATTTAAGATCTTCAGAATCACTGACCATCCGCAGAAGAAGAGGAGGTTTTCCATCTTTTCCATCAGCCAAAAACAAATGTTTCCCAGTTCTACCAAGAAACCATGATGTGCGAGCAGCAACTTTTTCCAGTACATGGGAGCCATGAAATAATGGAATCTTAATAATGCAAAACCACCAAAAGGAAAATATTACCGACCTTTAAGGTAAAAAGCACGTGCAAATATGAATACATATGTTATTCTTCAATGTAAACCCCTCACAAATCTTACACCAGAACTTTTTGAAGATTGCATTTAACTTAATAAATATGCATTCCATCATCAAATATCAATTATCATGCAAAAGAAAACAAAACGATAACATTTGAAGCATCTTTTTTAGCATTTCTTAACATATATAAAGAATCGGGTGAATGAACTACCTGTCTATGCCACCGAGAACCAATGTGTGGACTTGCGAGTGTTATGGAATTCATGGGCTCTAGTCCAGCAATTTTACCTTTGAGTTTCCCTTCAGGCAATGAATCTCCCAAATGATCAGTGCTACAATCTCCAGTTGTTTGGGAGTTTTCTTGACTGAGATCTTGTTCAAAAAGCTGTGAAATGGCGTACCTTGCTACAAGGCCACCTAATGAATGACCAACAAAAGATATCTTCTGAACACTTGGGTAACTCCTTATGACAGATTTAACCTGAAAAACACAACAGTATTCTCCTATTGGCAATGGCAACCTTACATTCTGACTTAATAATAATGATTAAGAAAAGGAATAGACAATATCAATGAACACTTATCTCTCACATATAGGCAGGAGTTTTGCAACACCGGAGAATAATGGGAGTTGTAATTATGGATAAACAAACGATTTTCTTTTAACATAAAAGTTTCATAACATTCCTCCACTGCTAACCTGTCGCCCTGTACATCCACGCCATCAAATGTCAACATTAAAGAATCGCGCTCACTGCCTGCATTATACATAAACTCATTGAACCATCGGTAACTATTTCATCGTGAAATCCGTCCAAAATTCCAAATTTTCAACGGTTTTATAAAGACGGTGCTAAATTAAGATGATTATCGTCCAGATGTTGGATATATTTAATGAGAATAATTATGTAATCATTAGTTGTCATCATAAAAGATAAACGTGATTGTGCTCAGTTATAATAAAACATAAACAATTATAGGCCTAATAGGTCCAAACTCTAAAGTATAAATTTGTCTTGAAGTTGTTACTTGATAATATGAATTATCTTTAATTAAAATATATATTAAAAACTAGTATTGTATTAGGGTAGTACATAAACTAAGTTTGAATGAAAGATATTTGTTTATGTTTATTTATTTAGTTCATTTGTCTTAGATTCATATTTATTTAGATGTTTAAATTTATATTCATGTTTTTTTTAAATTATATGTTTGTACGTAATAACCCATTTAATATTCATAAACGACAGAATTAGGATTAAACATTGAGAAAGCTTCAATTATTTAACTTAAAGATACTAAAGTCTATTAAGTATTTAAGCTCAAATTTAAAAACAAAAGTTAATTTATGGAACATTTGAACTTATAAGAACCTAAATTACCATTAGATAAAAAATGGGGTCAGATGCCTTCGGCCCATACTTTACTTTCAGCCCTAATATATTAATATCAACTGCAATATAAAAATTTACTCTTGAATTATAAACAAACTAACTGAAAATGAATAATAAATATTATAAATTATGTTATAAATAAAAATAATTATTTTTAATTATATTTTATAAAAAATAATTTTAACTTTTAGCCTGATTCCAATCAAATTAAACCCCCGCTCGGCCTAACGACTACAAGTATAAAGTTCACAAGGTCCACATACCTCTCGGGTAAACCCAAAACCACTAACCCAGAATTCTAGGTGTTATAGCGAAGAAAAAGACTCTTGTTTTATTTGAGTTCACTTTTGGCCTAAAAATCTAACTAATCGATCGAGCATAACTCCAAGTCCTCAACAAAAAATAATATGTGAGAGGAGGACCACCACGGGGGAGAGAACTATCATCTCCCATAGACAAATATCCATGGCATATTTTATATTGTGTCCCAACCTCTCCATGCAAAGGATGAAGAGATAAGGTGATAAGTGACATCCCTGACGAATTTCTCTTACCAGTTTGAACTCCTCAAAAGAGACTACTTTCCAAAGGATCTGCATGGTGAAAAAGGAGACTGAATCCAAAATAATGTGATAGATGTTATCTGGGCAGCCTATGTCTATTAGGGAGTCGAAAAAGAAATTCTATCCAACACGGTTGTACGTTTTTTCGAGATTCACTTTCATCACCATCCATTGAGTACGACCTCTTTTCTTTCTCATAGAATGAATAGCCTCTTGAGCCAAGAAGATATTATCTGTAATGTTTCGTCCTCTAATAAAACTATCTTGATTTGAAGCTATGATTTCCGAAAAGATTCGTTTAAACCTATTAGAAAAAAATATTCATAACAAGTTTTTAAAGAATAAAGCATAAACTAATCGAGTGAAAATCAGAAGAAGATTCAGGATGAGCCACCTTAGTAATGAAAATCAACAAAGTTTTATTTAGCTCAGGCTCAATTGGATTATCGTTAAAAATTCCCTTTACCCAATTGAATATCGAGGTTCCCACTGTATCTCACTAACTCTAAAAAAATAGAACTTGAAGACCATATTTTCCTGGAGACTTTAGGGGATTTATCTCGAACAGAGCTTTCTTGATCCCCTAATTAGTGATCGTATCATCAAGGAGTTGAGTTTCTTGGGAAGATGGGCTAAAAAATATCTCGCAAAATGGAAATCTGTCTCTATATCTCTCATCATCCTAGTAAAACTCGGCAAAGAACTAAGTGGCCTTTTCCCGGAGCGTATTGTCATCGTAACACCAAACTTTGTTATGTATCTTAAGGGCTTGGATACGGTTTGCTTTCTGCCTAGTGTGGGCTCGGCAATAAAATATTTAGTATTTATGTCTCCCTTTATGAGCCAACTGCTTTGCGACTTCTGTTACCAAAGATGTTGAGTCAATCGAACCAATAAAATGACTAAGAGTTGGTGAACTGACGATTAAAAGATTGATGAAAGCTTTTTGCAAGAGAATAAAAAATTTGACATTAACAATTTTAAGTGGTTTAACTTCTTCAATGAAATCTACATCCACAACCTTAGTGTAACACTCTTATCCCATATACGATTCCATATACGAGGTAGAAGTATCGCATCAAACGTATAAAACATATACTGTTTAAGGTAACTTATGACATAAATAACATATACATAAACATTTGTATATAAAAAATATTATTTAAATAAATCATGCATAAAATAAAATGAAAATAATTATTAAAATCCTTTACCTTAACTATGTATTAAATCTGTACTTTTTTATTTATAATTTGTATCGTTGCCCACTGTATTGTCATGTGAAATCTATGGTATGTGAGTCATATGAGTGATGAACCATTATGCAGTCGAAATTGCTACTAGTAATACACGTAAATGCATTAGGTTACTCCACCTCGTATATCATTAAGACACACGAGTCATATGAGTAATAGTGTCATATCATATAACATATAAAATACCTTGTAGATTGCATCAGATCACTCCACCTCAACACCACTAAGGCACACAGTCATATGAGCAATCTATATTGGTGCATCTCATAAGCTTGTGTTTGTTCACTTCACCTTTTGGCATGCCAATTATACCATTAACTCTCACTTACATACAATGAGTTTATTAAAAATTATATACTATTTTGCATGTAATCTAATCATACACTCAATTTGAATAAAATCTCATAAGTACCGTATTGGGCAGTTCATACCCAAATCAATCATATACTATGTAATAAAACAACTTAATAAAATCTATATACAAATGCTACTTTAAAGATCTTTTTAATAAAAACGATCGAGGTTGACTCATTGCAAGTCGTCCTCGTATTATCTATTATAAAAAGTTTAGTTGTACTCACATGTGGCCTCACTACGCTTTATTACTACGATCCCTTTACTGTCGACTTTACCCTTATCTTTTAGTTTGCTATGAGCTTGATTGTGATTGTGATCTTCACGAATGTCGATTACCCGGCATATAAAATTCCAAACACAAATTAATACTTTAACTAATATAATAAAATTGAATTCGAATACAATAAAAATTCTAAAAACTACCCTCAATACATATTCAATACAAATTTCCTTTCACCAATTAAAGCTAACCTTAACATTTTCATATTAACTTTTCAAGGTGTTCTAAAATATTCAAACAACCAACCAAACTAGCACGTAACCGGCAGCCGCAAGATGTCAAGAACAGGGGTCAGTGAACTCCTCTCCCAAAATGAATAGTCGCTTATCCACATTACACTATTCGACCAGATTTATTATAATTCTTGGTGTCATATGTAAGCCTTTGACCGATAAGAAACTACCCCATATATTAAATATCAACTAGGCTACAAATCTAGGAAATGATAATCTAGCTCAGTTGGTAGAGCACAAGGTTCTTAACTTTGAGGTCGTGGGATCGAGTCCCACGGAGGGTATTTTATAATTCGAAAGTCTCTTACGGAAACTGCTTTCAACCTGGTGTTGGGAGTAGTCTATTATCTTACCTTCCCCTTACCCCATATATATGGGAAAAAGAGACAACCAATTTTTTAGGCTACAAATCCAAATGCTTAATTAATTTGAAATTAACTCGCGCACCTATGTGCACCAACTCTTCACTTTTCGTGGGTTAAAAGTATACAACACCCATGTCCAATGCATATACAAATCACGGCCCCTCTAAATACATGAAATACTAAAAAAATTATGAAAATAACAATATTATACGCATAATTCATATTGTTTCCAACAATCAAACCAAGCCCAAGTAATATAATCCCACACTCTGCTCTCTCCACTTTTTTCCATCCCACTGCTAGAACTTGAAAATTATAAACTCATAATAGCACTTTAATAAGAATTCAACAATCGGCTTTTATGTACTTGAGCTTTCTAGAGTATTTCTTATAAGTCCTAATGATTTCCAATCCATTTCCATGCTTGTATTTTGCCCCCTAACACTCCTAGTATCAAAATCAAGCCTAATTTTATTGATTTCTCATCTCTCCTTCATCCAGAAAAAATACCCATTTCACCATTCAAGCATGAATCAATGAGATATTTATACCAATTTGTAAAGAAACTAATGTAAATTATTTTCTTATTTCACATCTTGGTCCTAAAACTTACTAAAATTGATCAAAAATGAAAAAGAAAACTTGAATCACCTTAGCTATGGGTGTTCGGCAGCTTGGAGGAGAAGAGGAGGAAATTTCTTGAAATTTCCATGCAAATATCTCTAATTTGAGCCTTTTGGTTTCCCCTGCTCAATCTGTTTCTCTTCCAAATTTACAGATATTTGGGACAAATCCATCATTTCCCGTCATCAATCAGATATTACACACGTTTCCTATAGTTCCATGCTTGTTACTAGACAGTTCAATATAGTGATCATCTAGCCGGTAATCCTTACTATTGGATACTTAAGAAAGTCGTTAAGTATGTTTAGTGCAATGCCAAAAATGCCAATACACAAAAACCATAAAATCCTCAAGCATTTCCTTTTTTCTGACAGTAGGAAACCATGTCGATTATACTATAATGCATAAAGAAAAATCTTCAGATACTCCATCCATACCTATATATGCTACTTAAGCTGAAGTAGTGAGGGATTTATGGCATGCTCCTTGAAAAAATGTTTGTGGAATATTTACTTCTGATTGATAGTTTCCTCTGAATGCATAAAGAGTAAAAGATCAGGCCATCATGCCAACGGAAGCAAAAACACCATTCTAAATCCAACATTTGAGGATGGCCTTAGTAATTGGTCTGGCAAGTGCTGCGATATCCTTTTTCATGAATCAATGGGAGACGGAAAAGTCCTTCCTTTATATTCAAAG